CCTCTGGGCAGCTGTTTGCTCTCTACTGGGGGCTAGTTAGCAAAGATCTCAGTGGATGTCAGGATATTTGCAAAGAAAGTTGCCTTTTGTTGTTGTTGTTTTGTTTTTTCGAGACAGGGTTTCTCTGTGTAGTATTTTGGTGCCTGTCCTGGATCTCACTCTGTAGACCAGGCTGGCCTCGAACTCACAGAGATCCGCCAGGCTCTGCCTCCTGAGTGTTGGGATTAAAGGCGTGTGCCACCACTGCCTGCGAAAGTGGCCCTTTTGATGACAAATGGCAAACCTTATTATCTCCATGAGGGTGTGGTGGCAGCACCTGGGTCCTGGCCTGGTGGCCCTGCCTTGATCAACCCCTGTTACAGTGTCCTCTCTGCCCCTGACGTCAGGAGCTCCTGTCAACACAGGCTTCTGTACTTGAATATGCCAAGGTAGGTGCTGACTGCGCACAAGACCTCTGTGGAGTTGCTGTTCCCATTGCACTTTAGGGCTGATCAAACTCAGGTGCATGGAGGGAGTCAATAACCAGCCCCCCAGGACCCCAGCAGTAACCACTGTGCATGGCCAGGCATCTTCCTGCATCAGCCTCCTGAGTGCTGGGGTTACAGGTGCTCACCACCACACCAAGACCTTCGTAAGGAACACCTTGAAGGGTTTCACTCTGGACTTGAATTTCTCAATTGTCAATGGACTGTTCTGACTGAGAAGGAGCTGGGCTAGGATGCCATGGGCTGAGGCTGCTGGTGGCCATGCCCCCTCCGGACCTTTGGCCTTGGATGGCCTGAAGTTTCCCTTTTCTCCTTGTTCTGATCCTTGAAACAGAAGGGAGGTTACATGGAGCTGCTGGGGAAGGCCTCCCATTACCTTGGCCAGTCCAGTCAGCTGTGCCCAGGAGGCAGCAAGGCGGGTGGGGGTGGGACTGAGAGCCAGCACATGCTAATGGAAGATGTTATACCAGCCCCACCCTCTCTCTCTTCCTAAGTGTGCATGAGGCTGCAATTTTTGGAAACCAGAGATGCAGAAAAGATAGAGCAGGTCATCATCATTCCCAAGGCACTATGTGCAGATTCCTGGAAGAGACAGAAAGCTGGCCAAGGTGGAGTCCCTGAGCTCCTCTCCCCCAAAGACTTGCTTCATTTGAGGTCATTCAGCTCCCTCTCTGTAATGCACTCATCAGGGTAACCCCAGCACCAGGGAGCCTGAGACACTGAGGTGGAAGGTGGGGTGGGGTGGTTGGGAGAGAGCAAGCCTCCTGTCGCTTTGTACTCTGATGGTTCCTTTCTATGTTAGTGTTTATTGTATTTTTATTTATTTCGTATTGGGGGCATGCACACTGCAGTGCACATGTGGAGGTCATGGGACAACTGGCAGGGGTTGTTGCCATCTGCACCACCTGTTTCTAATGGCTAGGACAAAAAGTAAGAAAGGGGCTGGGGAGATGGCAGAGTGTTTTGCAAGGACCTGAGTTCCAGCCCCAGAGCTCGCTTAAAAAGAAAAAAAAAAAAAAAAAAGGCCAGATGAGGTGGCGCACGCCTTTGATTCCAGCACAGAGGCAGAGGCAGGCAGATCTCTGTGAGTTCGAGACCAGCCTAGTCTACATAATGAGTTCCAGAACAGCCAAGGCTAAGTAGAGAGACCCTGTCTTAGAAGAGAAGGAGACACGGCGGGGGGGGGGGGGGGGGGGGGGGGGGGAGAGGAGGAGCTCAGTGGTTGAGAATATTTACCACTCTTGCAGAGGACCTGAGTTTGGTTCCCAGCACCCACTCATCGGCTCACAACCATCTGTGACTTCAGTTCCAGGAGATCTGATGCCCTCTTCGACCCTGGTGTGTACTGTATACACTTGGTGCACATACATGCAAGCAAAACACCCATATATATATAAAAGTAATTAAATAAAAAAGCTTTCTGGACATGGTGGTGGCGTCTTTAATCCCAGCACTCAGGAGGCAGGGGCAGGTGGATCTCTGAGTCCCACCAGCCAGTACTACATCGTGAGAACCTGTCTCAAAAATGAACAGACATAAGCGGGCTTAGTGACATGTACCTGTAACCCTCTGCTGGGAGGTGAAAACATTCCTGGGGTGCAAAGGCCTGCCAGCCTAACACACACGGTGAATTCCAGGCCAAAGAGAAACTCCAAACACAAGCTGTCTGAGGGAGGCTGACGCCTCCCCCCCCCTCTCTCTCTCTCTCACACACACACACACACACACACACGATCTGCTTTACCCCATGGCTTCAGTCCAGAGTGTGACAGCCACAGAGGGTGTAGTGGAGCCCAGCTGCTCACCTCACAGCCGTAGGAAGCAGAGTGGGCGAGCCAGCAGATTAAGATGCACCCTTCAAGGCACTTCTCCAGGACTTTCTTCTCAGGTCTGAGCTCCTAGCAATGAATCCGGCTAAGAACTCAGTGGACTCACCACTGTTGGGGTCAGCACCTTCGGGATCCAATCACATCTCAGTAGTGCTGCCAGCAGGAGGCCTTCTCGCGGAGGGCTTCAGAAGACATTTAATGTAGTGCCTGAAAGCCTCACTTCTCAGATGTGGAAACTGAGGCAGAGCAAGGCTTAAGTGGCAGAACCAGAATTCTATTCAGTTTTCTAGCACTGCTTTATCTATCATTCCTTCGCTGTGTGGATGGTGCTGAGTGAATCCCACGTGGGATGGGAGAGCCAGTGACACGAACATGCTGCTGCAGTGTGCTGTTTCTTCATCCCATCAGGTCCATTTCCAAAGCAGGAAGAAGCAGTCCTCAAACCGACTTAACAAAGCAGACAGGGGCTGGTGTGTGGTTCAGTGGTAGAGCACCTGCCTAGAATCCCCCAGTGAGGGGCTGGTGTGTGGCTCAGTGGTAGAGCACCTGCCTAGAATCCCTCAGTGAGGGGATGGGGTGTGGTTCAGTGGTAGAGCCCTTGCCTAGAATCCCCCAGTGAGGGGCTGGGGGCGTGGCTCAATGCATGTGCAAGGCCTTAGGTTCCTTACCCAACCATCCCCTACGAGAGAGAGAGAGAGAGAGAGAGAGAGAGAGAGAGAGAGAGAGAGAGAGAGAGAGAGAGAGAGAGAGAACTTGGTCCATGCTTCTCAACCCTCCTGAAGGCAGCTTGAGCTCAAGCTGACCAGAATTGACCAGAGCTCTGGTTTTCTCTGTGGATTGCCTTGCTCTGTGCTCTGCTTTGAGGGCTCATCTTCTCTTCCAGGCTCCTGCCCTTCACTCATACAGCTCACCCAGAAAGGGCTTCTCAGCAGTGGGTCACTATCTAGAGTGGCTTGACTTTACTTTGTTCATCCTCCAAAGACACTGGGTCATTTCAGGTCACTAGTTCAGGAGAGAGGACGTAGCACCAGCTTACAGAGTCAGATCACTCAAGGCCTCCTGGGGCCATTCCCCAGGCTTTTACCCTGGGCTCTTAGAGAGCTGAGCTGGGACAGAACGGAAGCCAGGGAAGTGCTTGTCCCAGGGGAAGAAGGCTGCTGGTGCATTTTTTTTTTCCCTAGCCAAACCAAAGAAACCTGGCCTTGCCAAGGCTACGGAAACAAATCTACAGGAATAGCAAGGTGGGGACCCAGGATCAGGGCACCTCTGTCTTGGTGACAGGAACAGTAACTCATGAAAATCTGAGCTAAATCTTACTGAGCTTGGTCTGGTGGCACAAAGAGAATGGAGGCAGGAGAATCACAAATTCAAGGCCTGCCAGAGTTCAAGTCCAGCCCCAGACACTTAAAGAGACAATGTAAAAAGTGAAAACTGGGGGTGTAGCTCAATAGTAGAATGCTTGCTGAGTGTGTAGGATCCCGAGTTTGAATCCCAAACCACACTAAGAAAAATAGAGTCACTGGGCATGGACTATGGGAATCACTCCAAACCTAACATTTTTTTTTTCACCAGACATGGTGGCGCATTCCTTTGATCCCAGAACTCAGAACTCAGAGGCAGAGACACATGGATCTCTGTGAATTTGGGGCCAGCCTGGTCTACAGAGTGAGTTCCAGGACAGCCTCGGCAACACAGAGAAACCCTGTCTTGAAAAACAAAGTATTACATTTATTGATTTACCGTGTGTGTGTGTGTGTGTGTGTGTGTGTGTGTGTGTGTGTGTACACTATAGTGCACTATGGCATATGTGTGAAGGTCAGAGGGGAACCTGCATGACTCTATTCTCTCCTCCCTGTGGTTTCTTGGGATCCAATCCAGTCCTCAGGTTTGGTGGGAAGCACCTTTGCCATCCGAGCCATCTCGCTGGCCCATTTGTTTGTTTTTTGCGGCAGGGTGTCATGTAACGCAGGCTGGCCTTGAACTGGCTATGCAGCCAAGGATGAACTTGAACCTGTTCAGGTGTGGGTCATCACAAGCGTAAGCACCTCTAACTGTGCAAGCCATCCCTAGAGGAAGTGCTCAGGGTCTCGGTGTAAATGAGGCCAGGATTAGTGACACAGGATACGGCTGGGAGTCTAGGGAGGCTCTCTCACAGGGTGGGGGGCACAGTGACCTCAGAAACAACCGGCCTGGGTGACCCTGGAGCACCACCTGACTCAGGTGGCTTCAAGACGGCCCGGGTGACTTGCAGGAGCGAAGTGTGTGGGACGACAGAAGCAAGAAGTCACCTGGAGTGGCCGTGCCTCCTTCGGTACACTGAGGATCTGGGGGGCGGGGCCGCCTACCGCCAAGGTCTGCAATTGGGTGCCTGGAGTGGCTCCCAGAGTGCGGGGGCCAGAGGCCCGCAGGGGTCACTGAGTTCCGGGGTGCCTGCGTGTGGTCTCAAAGCCTGTGCATTCTTTGTGGCCCGAGCTCCGGCTCCCCTCTCTCCCAGCCTCAGTTTCCCCACACAGAAAGTAGTTCGGAGAGACAACGTGCGCTCTCCAAGCGAATCTTGAGCCGAGCTGGACTTTACTGAGGTCCGGGCGGCTCCGTACCTCCAGGGGTGGGCGGGCCCTGGGATCCCGCCACAGCCGCCCGGGTCCCGCCCCCGGTCCCTGCGGGGCTGTGCCCGGAGGCCCCGCCCCCCGCCCACGAGGAAGTGGCTGCGGCGCTGCGCGGGTCTCAGAGCCGGTTCGGCGCGTCGACTGTCCAGAGTCCGTGGCCGGGGCGCCCCGAGGTGAGGGGCGTGGGGTGGTCGCGTGGTGTGGGGGGGTATGAGGCCACCTAGAAGTCCGGGGACTTGAAGCTATGTTCGACGGTGAGGGGGGTGGGGGTGAGAGGGTATTGGAGGGCCGTGTGCATGGGGGGGCCTGATGGGGCTCCCGGCGAGGGTGCGACTGAAGAGGAACTAGTGGGGGGCAGCGTGGGGGGCGGCGTTCTGGAGATGCGGGGCGCGGTGGGAGGAACCGCAGAAATTCCCCGCGCACTCGACGCCATCAAGGCGGCACGGCCCCAGCCCTCGCGCCCTTTCTCCGCTTTTCTGGTCCCGCTTTTCGATCACCGCGCCCGGTGTCGCCCCGTTACTTCGGGTGCAAGGCCCCACGCCCAGTCACTTCCCCCTTGGTCCGCAGCCTTCCGGGTTGTTGCGACCGGGAAATGAGCTGGCGCCCCCGCCCCGCCTCATCCCCCGGTGACCGTGCCCACCCCGCCGGGATTCAGGGATTCAGGTTTCTGGGTCTCACCCGGTGCGGTGCGGGGCGAGGGACCCCGGGCAGCGTGAGAGAAGCCCAGCCGGCCACTCGGGACAGGGAAGGTCCGATCGGGCCCCCAGGATTCCCAAACTGGGGGTCAGCCCAGGTGCTGCTGGTCTTACAGCTTGTTCCCCGAGGCAGCTCCAGCCTGGGGCGGCGTGGCCGGTGACAGGGGCGAGCCACCCAGTCGCTGTGGAGCTCAACTTGCCTTGCCTGGAAAATGGGGACCTTCCAGATCCGGAGGCTTAGCGGCCAGATGTGGCCAACACACTTGGCAGTGTGCCTGCCTGCTGCTGCCGCCGACCTCATTTCTGCACCCGGGTTGAACCTTGCCTTGCGTGGCGGTAGGATGGTGGGGCCCCAAACTGCAGCTCTGCCTGGTGACTTTGAGGGAAGTTAAACTTCTTCACGTGCAAAATGAAAAAGAAACAGATTTACAGACTTGGATTGTAAGAGAATGTGTGGGGCTGGGAGATGGCGCAGTGCATAAAAACACTGGCCGTGCAATCATGAAGACCTGAGTTCGAATCTCCAGCATCTATGAGAAACTGGAAGTATGTCTGTAATCCTAGTGCTCTGATTGGGGTGGGATAAGATAGCCGAGGTTGTCCCCTGACATCCACGGACACTCACGCAAGCGTGTAAGGCAAAGTTCTGTGTGAACGAAATTTCTGGCGATCCTTTTTTGCTTTGGGTTTTTTGTTTTTTAGACAGGGTCTCATTATGTAGACCAGGCTGGCCTCGAGCTCTTAGAGATCAGCTTACCTCTGCTTTCCCAGTGCTTAGATTAAAGGTGAGCACACATTTGTGTCATTTAAAAAAATAAATAACCTCAGTATGGGTTAGTGTTTTGTCTTGGTCCCAGGGCCTCACACTTGTTAGACAAGTGCGCTACTAATGAGCCACACCCTCCAGCCCCCCAGTGGTATGTGGGTTTTTCCACTCTGTCACTGGTGTGTGTGTTCGTGTTGGTTTGCGTGTGTCCGCCCTCGCGAGCATTCTCTCTCTCCCTAGGATGGCAGGAAAATGTCAGATTCCCCTGGAGCTGAGTATTGGCGGCTGTGAGCTACTAGAGCTGAACCCAGGTTGTCTGCGAGAGCAGCAAGTGTTCTTCATCGCGGCACCTTCTCTCCAGCCCCACGTTCTGTTTGCTCTTACACGAGTTGTTGGAATTAGGAGTTAGTTAGCACACGGCCCTTCACACACACACAACAAATGAACAACCGAGGATCTCTCCACAGTCCTGCCAGCACTGAGTTTTATGGGTTTTGGAGGAGTTTTGTTTTGATTATTTGAACTGGTGTTTTACAGTATTTTAAAATTATTTTAATCTGTGTTGCTGGATTTGGCTTTGCCTAGTTCAGTGAGACTTCAAGAGCAGCCTGGAGGAGGAGGAACTGGGGATTTTGAGGGCTGCTCACACCACCCAGGCTCCTACCCACAACAGGAAGTTGAGTAAAGCTTAGCACCATAAAAAAGAAAAAACCTGCTGCTGGCTGCTCTGAGCAAGGCCTGAGCTGGGCGGGGACTTCCTGGATTGCCTGTGGAGCCAAGGTCCTTGCTGTAGGCAACTCCTGCTTGGTTCAAGTCTCAAATTCAGCCAAACTGGATTCAAGGAAACAGAGCCAAGAAAAGCCAACTGAGCAAGGAAGGACCAATAGACTGTGCCCGTGGGACGGAGGATACCCAGCCAGGATGGAGAGAGCTAGAGTATTATATTTATTTATTATTGCATTTCTCCCTCTCTCTCTCTCTCTCTCTCTCTCTCTCTCTCTCTCTGTGTGTGTGTGTGTGTGTGTGTGTGTGTGTGTGTGTGTGTGTGTGTGTGTGTAGGGGGAGTCAGAGGACAAGTTACAGGAGTTGGTTGGTTCCCTCCTTTCACTGTGTGGGTCCAGGGGATCAAACTCAGGTCATCAGGCTGGGCAGCAAGCACTTTTACCTGCCGAGACATCTTGCCAGCCTCTATTTATTTTTCTGAGACAGGTTCTCACTATGAAGCCCAAGCTGGCTTCAAACTCATGATCCTCCAGCCTCAGCCTCCTGAGTGCAGGCATCTCTGTGTGGTACCACACCCTGTTGGAGAGTTTTAACCTAGCACTCTTTGAAGGACCTCCTGAGACCCAAGACCTAGAAGAGTGTCCTTGGCTGCCCAGCAGCCTGGGGCTCTGGCTGGCTGGCTTGGGAGGGGAGCTGCCTTCTGATTTTTCTGACCATTTGTTCCTAGCCTGCTCCCCCTGACCCCCCCCCCCCCCCCGTGTTGATGTATTGCTGTGATGCAACAGGGCGTGTTCTCTGCCTCACCATACCTCAAGACACATAGCAAAAAGAAAGTAGAAGTCATTCATTCAGCAATGGTCAAAAAATATTCCTGGAGGGCTGGGGGTGTGGCTCAGTGGTAAAGCACCAGCCTAGAATCCCCCAGTGAGGGGCTGGGGTGTGGCTCAGTGGTAGAACACCTGCCTAGAATCCCCCAGTAAGGGGCTGGGGTGTGGTCAGTGGTAGAACACCTGCCTAGAATCCCCCAGTGAGGGGCTGGGGTGTGACTCAGTGGTAGAGCACCTGCCTAGAATACCCCAGTGAGGGGCTGGGGTGTGGCTCAGTGGTAGAGCACCTGCCTAGAATCCCCCAGTGAGGGGCTGGGGTGTGGCTCAGTGGTAGAGCACCTGCCTAGAATCCCCCAGTGAGGGGCTGGGGTGTGGCTCAGTGGTAGAACACCTGCCTAGAGTCCCCAGTGAGGGGCTGGGGTGTGGCTCAGTGGTAGAGCACCTGCTAGAATCCCCCAGTGAGGGGCTGGGGTGTGGCTCAGTGGTAGAGCACCTGCCTAGAGTCCCCCAGTGAGGGGCTGGGGTATGGCTCCCAGTTAGAACACTTACCTAGAATGCACAAGACTTTGGGTTCCATCCCCAATACTGTGAAGGGGGAAAAAATCAGTTTTGTATGTACCTGAAGCTGACCTCAAATTCACAATCCTCCTGCCTTAGCCTCTAGAGTGCAAGGGATTATTGGTGTGTGCTACCAAGCACAGTTCAAGAATTCATGTCTAGCTCAACAGTGGCCCATACCTTTAATCTCAGGATTTGGGAGGTGGAGCCAGGCAGATCTCTGAGTTTGAGGCCAGCCTGGTCTACAGAGTGAGTTCCAGGATAGCCAGGGGTACACAGGGAAACTTTGTCTCAAAAACACAAAAACAGAACAAAACAAAAAAACCAACAAAAAAAAAAATGAAAAATTCATGTCTAAGAAACTTAAGGTCCTGTCAACACTCTAGTTCATGTTCTTGGGCATCCTTAGGATAAAAACAACTCACCTTGAAGACCCAAAGCACTACTGAGGGCCACTGGAAGGAATTCAGAGCGAAACAGACCCTTCCTCAGGATGCCATGCCACTGTGCCTCCCTTGCCCTAGCCAGCGCTGGGTCTGCTAGCAGGGAGTAGCCCTGTGTGGGCAGTGCTCCTGGGAGAACAGAGAGGCCTGGTCCTGTGCTGGCAGGAGATAGCTTGGAGCCAGACAGGAAGTTTAATCCATACTCCCCCAGACTCTCCCAGTTTCCAGGGCAATAATAGAGTAGGAGCAGTCTCATGGCCCCCTTCCTCCCCACCTCCCTTGACAGATGGATGAGAGGGCTCAGGGTCTAGCTCAGCAACAGATTGTACAGGCCCTGGATCTCATCCCCAGCAGCACCAAAGTAAGTAACAATCCTCCCTCCTCAGCCTCGAGTGCCACAATTAAGGCTTGTATCACCACACCCCGCTCTTGGTTGCATTTTTCTGTGTCCTTTTTTTCTCCCCTCCCCCGCTACAGGATTTCTCTCTCTCTCTCTCTCTCTCTCTCTCTCTCTCTCTCTCTCTCTCTCTCTAGCCCTGGCTTGCCTGGAACACACTATGTAGACCAGGCTGGCCTTGAAACAGAGATCCTGCCTCTGTCACAAGTGCTGGGTTTTAAAGAAGAGGGAAGTGAGTCTTCCCTATCACCATTTGTTTCTGGCTCTCCTGTGCCCAACCAATGGACACTGTCGTTTACTCGGTCACCCTACGCCTATGGTTAGCATTAGCAGCTTTTTACTGCTCCTCCACACAACCATTAGGTTCCAGGAAACGGGGACCAGGGCTCCTCCGGTTGTCTTAATTTACCCGCTAGGACACACGGAGCCTGCTGCTGAGGGCAGTGTCAGGCCCATGGAGAGTGATGGGGCCGATACTGGGAAGGCAGGCTACAGCCCTGCACTTCTTACTGCCGTGGGGGAGGATGGGCATCAGCTTCCACTGGAGTTAGGGACCAACCAGAGCCCAGCTGGACTTTGGAGTGGCTTCTGGCTTAGCCCTGCTGTGCTGATGTATTTCATGGATTAGGCTGACCACAGGTTTCCTCTGCTGATTTTTTTGTTTCTTGAGACAGGGTTTTTCTGTGTAGCCTTGGCTGTCCTGGGACTTGCTCAGTAGACCAGGCTGTCCGATCTGTTTTTTTAAAGGGAAGATCAGCGAGGGTTTATTTAAATTACTAGCCAGGTCAGATTCCTAGTTTGGCCAGCCTCTTCTAGGGGAAGGCAGGAGTACTCATGGCTGTGGTGGCCCTGGCTGGGAGATCCACCCACAAGTGCTCAGGGAAATTCCCATCTAGCCTGCAGGCTAAGGTGAGGGCTTCAAGGTTGTTCTTCCGGGTCCCTCCCCTTAGCCCAGCTCCTCAGAGATCTGGGAACTAGGGAAGGCTGCTACGGCTTGATCTATAAAAGGAAGACCATGTATGCTAAGTGTGCCTTGCAAGCATGAGGACCTGAGTTTGATCCCCAGAACCCCTGTGAAAAAGCTGGGTGTGGTGTGGGAGAGATGGCTCATCGGTACAAGGTACAAAACCAGGTAGGGCGGCCGGCCCACGGCTGCCTGGGACTCCAGTTCCAGGGAATCAGGCGCCCTCTTGTGGCCATTTTGGGCTTCGCGCCACTTGTGTCCTTCCACTTCCACATAATTAAAGCCAACAACAAAAGACAGCAGGGCGTGGTGGCGCACGCCTTTAATCCCCGCACTCAGGAGACAGAGGCAGGGGGATCTCTGTGAGTTTGAGGTCAGCCCAGGACAACCAGGGCTACACACAGAAACTCTGTCTTGAAAAACCAGAAAAGGGAAAAAATGGCTAGGTGTGGTGGCACACACACGTCATGCCAGTGCCGAGGAGGCAGAGACAGGCAGTTCTCCATCTCAGAAGTAGCAAGGTGGATGGCGTCTGCAGAATGACACCTGGCCCATGTGCAAAGCTTGAATACGTCCATCTAGCCCGAGCCAAGTGTGCACACACCCACTTGCTGAGCAAAGGTTTTCTGAGAGTCCACTGGGTCACCATTCTGGGTGTGGGAGCCAGATATAGTCCTGGTTTCTGCTGGCAGATGTGTCCTGTGCCACCCAGGAACTGTCTAAATGTCCCTGTTGTACCTGTAAGCAAGAGGTTTTTACCAGGTTAGCAGAGTGGGGCCGGCCATGGGCAGGGTTTATCAGTGAGTGCTCAATGGAAGGATCATGATGCAACTGAACTTGGAATGAAATGGCAAAGGGTGTGGGCCTGAGCCGTGTGTGTGTGTGTGTGTGTGTGTGTGTGTGTGTGTGTGTGTGTGTGTGTGTAGGAGTCTGAGTGAAGAGCATTATAGTATGCTCAGGGAACAGCTAGTGCATGGCCCTGAGGCAGGAGTATGCCCATGTGGCTCAGGGTTAGCTTGTAGGGCCAGGGAGAGCATGTCTCAATGAGGAAATTGAGGCTGGGCTTCATGCATATCGTGGAACAAAAGCATAGCTTGTCAGCTGGCTCCTATATCGTGTCTTTAAAAAACTATTTCTTCATGCTTGTGCCACGCATGCATGTGGAGGTTACAGAACAACCCGAGGAAGTCGGTTCTCCCCTTCCATCATGTGGGTCCCAGGGATTGAACTCGTGTTATCAGGTTTGGTGGCAAGTGCCTTTACCCACTGAAAACATCCATCTAGACCGATGGACCACTTCTCGATCGCCTACCAGCCGTGCTGTATCTTTTTGTTGTTGTTACTAGACAGCAGCGCTTGTAGCCCAGACTAGCCTGGAATTCAGTATGTGCTGAGGATGACTGTGAACTTAATGATTATTCTCCTGCCTCCGCCTCTTAGGCTTGTGCCACCACACCCAGTTTATGTGGTCCTCATGAACGCTAGGCCAGCACTCTGCCAACTGAGCTACATCCCCAGCCCTGTTGGTTTCCTGAGACAAGGTCTGGGTAGCCCAGGGTGGCTTTGAACTCATGACCACTCAGACTTACTCTTCCCATGGCTGGAATTCCAGGCAGGCATATGCTATCAGGCCCAGCCTTGGCATCTCACTCCACTCTCCACACCTCAGGCGGGGTGGGCAGGGTTACTGTTGCATTGTGTGGATGAGGAAATGAGGTTCAGGGACAGCAGGTGATGTGCTCTGGGTCACATGGCTGGCAAACAGTGCTATGATGCCTCCCCACTCTGGAAACCTCATGACTGGGGAGCTGAGGGAAGGGGTTGGGCAGAACAGGGTTTGGGGAAGTGACTTTCGGGGGTATTTTTGGATGGGTGTCTTGGTGGAGGAGAATGGAGGGGACAACAGAGAAGATCTCGGAGACGTGAAAATGTGGATAGGGGTGGCCAGGAAGGGACATCTGGCAGGATGTGGGAGACGCATGGGGAATGCCCTGGGGGAGGCCAGCCAGGGGAGCAGAGGCAGCTCCTCAGCCAGGCAGGGCTGGTGGGGAGCCCGGACATCCCTCCTTGGCCTCAGAGACCTGTGAACCTGAGTCGGGGTGGGCAGGCTGTGGGAGGCCAGCCGTGGCTCTGATGAGACCAGGCCTAGAATGTGAGCTGTCTTAACCGCCTGGCCTGCTTTGTTCAACCCACGGGGCTCCGGAAGGGAGGACCAGGGCACTGATGGGTGGGCTCTGTTTGAAGTGGATTATGGGACTGTTTAATTTTCATGACGTGTGTGTCTGTCTGCCTGTCTACACTATGAAGAAACTGAGGCACAGGTGATAAGTGACAGGCCTGTGTGGCTCAGGGTCCCAGTCCCCACTCACATAGTGTCATTGCCTGCAGTCCCAAGCTCTGTTCTACCCATCTTTTGTTCTCTAGAGCCCAGGACACCTGTGACACCCGCTTTTTTGGGATGAGGGACTCTGGGGCTCAAGGAGAGGTTGTAACATGCTTGGCCATCCAGGAGACTAGGGTGACCCAGGCTGCTTTTCTGCCAAGACAGGGCACAGCTGACCTGCATTCTGTCCCCTCCCCTGGGTCCAGGAGACAAGTGACTATGGCCTACCACAGCTTCCTTGTGGAGCCCATCAGCTGCCATGCCTGGAACAAGGACCGTACACGTGAGTGCTGGCTTCTGCAAGGTGGCCTGCTGAACTGGGATTAGTTGGGACATTGGGGTGACAGGATAGTGAAACAGCTTTGAGGGGTGGGGTGCAGCCAGACCCCATACTTTGAGTCTCTGTGCTTAAGGCAAGTGCTTGCTCCTGGGAGACGGATGAAGAACTCAAGAGCGAGCAGGGGAGGCCAGGCGGGTAGAAAGAGATGTTGGCATGTTGGGCGGATGGCAGTTTAACAGCCTGGGCCTCCCGAGCAGTCTGGTGGGTGGTGGAGTTATGATGAAAAACACAAAGGACAGGGCATGGTAGTACACACCTGCCATCCCAAAACTTAGGAGGCTGAGGCAGGGAGATTATATGTTTGAGGCCAGCCTGAGCCACACAGCGAGACCTTATCTCCAAAAACCAACAAAATGGGCTGGTGAGATGGCTCGGCATTGTTTGCCAAGCCCGGTGAGTTTGGTCTCCAGGACCCACATATTGGAAAGGAAGCACTCACCACTCTAAGTTGCCCTCTGACTTCCACTCACGTGCTGTGGCACTCCCATACATATACCCATACACAAAATAAACAAATGTAAAAAACTTAAAGGCGTGGGTAGGAAGGCCCCAGGCCAGGATGAAGGTCTTGGAGATAGGGCAGTAATGGCTTCTGCTAGAGCTGTGGGCTGGGGTGGGGATTGCTGTGGGAAAATTCAGGGTGATGGGTACAGGCATGGGGTGGCCCAGCAGGACATGAGAGGTTTCAGACAGGACGGCCTGGCTCTTGAAGAGCGCTTTAGTGGAGAGCAGAGGTGGGAAGGGTGGGCACCCATGCTGCTGCCTCCTAAACGGACGCCTGCTCCCACAGAGATCGCCATCTGCCCCAACAACCACGAGGTGCACATCTACGAGAAGAGTGGAGCCAAGTGGAACAAGGTTCACGAGCTTAAGGAGCACAACGGGCAGGTGACAGGTGGGTCAGGACCACCCTCGTGAGAGGAGGCCAAGGGACAGAGCAGGTCCAGGTAGGGCTATCTACGCACTCACTGTGTTAGTTGGAGTAGTCTGGGTTGCAGCGAAAACATGTTCAAATTGGCTGAGGGACCATAAAGATGGCTCAGCTGATAGAGGAACTTGAGTTCCATCCCCAGGACCCACACAGAGGAAGAGAACCACTTCCTGCAAGTTGTCCTCTGACCTCTACAAACTAGTATACATAAACACAAGATACATTTTTAAAATTAAAAGTCCAATTGGCTTCGGTGGTAAAAAGATTATGTTGTTGCACATTATTATTGACACTTGGGAGTGTCTGTTAGGGGCGGGGGATGCCAGTGAGTGGTTGGGGATGTGGCTCAGCACTAGAGCACTGGCTTAGAATCCCCCAGTCGGAGCAGGGGTCGTGGTTCAACAGTAGAACACCTGCCTAAAATTGCCCAGTGAGGGTCTAGAGGCTTGACTCAGTTATAGAGTGAGTACTCGTTAGCATGAGCAAGGCACTGGGCACCATAGTTAAACATCTAGGCGTGGCCACTGTAGCTTTGGTGGCTTTAGACTGTGTCCTCTGACCCAACCCTGCAGGCATCGACTGGGCCCCTGAGAGTAACCGCATTGTGACCTGCGGCACAGACCGCAATGCCTATGTGTGGACGCTGAAGGGCCGCACGTGGAAGCCTACACTGGTCATCCTGCGGATCAACCGAGCTGCCCGCTGTGTGCGCTGGGCCCCCAATGAGAACAAGTTCGCCGTGGGCAGTGGCTCCCGTGTCATCTCCATCTGTTATTTTGAACAGGAGAATGACTGGTGGGTGCTTGGTTGAGGTCAGAGAAGGCTGGGGGGTGGGGGATAATGCAGAGTGGAGGTAGGGGTGCTGGTGGAGCCCAGGACTGCAGACTTACAGGATGCAAGATCAGTGTCCCAGACCACAGCAAATGAAATGAGGAGACTCTGGCTCCCATGATTCTAGGGAAATCTGTCTTTTGAGCCTTGCTGGTGAGGCAGTGAGTCCTCTTTATTGTGGTCCCACAGCTCTGACTTGGTAATATCAGAGGCATAGACCATCACTGCTACTTCTGGGGACACTACACAAGCCCTGTGCGCACACTGCCACCAGCTTCCTGGCAGCACTGTGGACTGGGCCTGCCACCCACTTGTCTCTGAGGTATCATACTCCAGGGGCCACTGACAAACACCCAGCCACACTTTTTAAAAGACAGGGTCTAGCCGGGCGGTGGTGGCGCATGCCTTTAATCCCAGCACTTGGGAGGCAGAGCCAGGCGGATCTCTGTGAGTTCGAGGCCAGCCTGGGCTACCAAGTGAGTTCCAGGACAGACTCCAAAGCTACACAGAGAAACCCTGTCTTGAAAAACAAAAAACCAAAAACAAACAAACAAAAAAAAAGACAGGGTCTAAATGCAGCCCAGGGTGGCTTCAAGCTCAGTGTATAGCCAAGGTGACCTTGAACTTGTGATCCTCCTGCCTCTGCCCTAGTGCTGGGATGACAGGTGTGTACCACTGTGCCTGGTTTCTGCAGGGATAGGGGTGGAACGTAAGGCTTCATGAATGCTAGGCAAACACTCCACCAGTTGAACTACATCTCCAGCCCTAGGGAACTGAACCTAGGGTCTCCTGCATGCTAGATAAGAGCTCTGCTGCCGAACCACATTGCCAGCCAATTTTGCTTTGTTTTTTTTTTTGAGACAAGATCTTGCTATGTAGTTAAGGCTACCCTTGAATTCGATTCTCTAGTATTTGTGTGCACCAGATGGCCTGTCCCAGCCAGTGTTGGAAGACAAGGACAGTTTTGAGTCTAGAAACCAGAATTCAGATTCTACCCTAGCCATTTAGAACCATGTGATCTTATGTGGTTGGTGGTGACAAGGTGACAAGTTCTCACCTCAGAAGGAACCCAGGACATCGCTGCCTGGTGTGGTCACTCAAGTGTCTGTCATCGGTTGGCTGTCCCCCAGGACACTGCTGTCCATGTTACCCACCTGCCTGCCTTTTCCACCCATGTGTGTAGGTGGGTGTGCAAGCACATCAAAAAGCCCATCCGCTCCACTGTCCTCAGCCTCGACTGGCACCCCAACAACGTGCTCCTGGCTGCAGGCTCCTGTGACTTCAAGTGCAGGTGAGCTGGCCATCCACCTGAGAGGGGAACCCTAGCCAACCAATAGCAGAGACTGGAGGGTGGGGGAAGAACCCCAAGCCCCTCCTTCCAAACCAACTCCTGATATGCTACCAGCAAGGTGACCTGGGGTCCCTGAGATATCAGACAGGGTTTGCTCTGCACATGATCACCATCATGGCCTTCTAGCACCCCAGGATGGAATCTTAGCAAGATGTGTCCTTTGCCATCTCTTGAATGTCAGCAAGGTCTCCCCAAATCCTCCTCCCCTGCCTCCCCCACCACAGCTGTCCTGATTTCTACTGAAGAATGAATGGTGTGTACTTATTCCAGTAAGGTTTGAATGACTGATGACCTCAACAAAACTCACTGTTATTTTTCACTTCTGGACCTAGAAACCTCTCTTGGCCAGTGAGCCCAAATTCCTCCCAGCTCTAGGCAGACATTGCCCCTTCCCCAAGTCTGTGAATTCTTACATGGGAAACTATAGGCACCAAAGGCCCCTTTCTTAATCCTGGGCCCAGAGAATGTGGTGTCCCCCGAGGCTTTGGGTTGCTAGGTAAGGTCCTACCCGCTTTTGTTTTCATGAGACAGTGTCTTGCTGTATACCCCAGGCTATCCTCAAACTTACGATCCTCTATTATAGGTGTGAAACAGGTGGGTCAGGAAGAGTTTAATGTGTGTGGGAATAGTGTTGTGGGGTCAAGAGGAGAGGGCAGAATTGGAGCACAAGAGCTGTTCTAGCCACTGGCTGTCCATGTCTAGCCTGGCAGGGACTGGGACACCCCCTGGAGCCATGAAGTTATGGACAGCTTTAAAGTTAGGGTCCCGTGGGTTCCAGGCCACAGGACTCTGAACCAGGAGGCCTCCCATCCTGGCTCACAGGCTCAGTGCGTTTGGCTGACTTGGGGGAGGATCCCTTTCTCAGGCCCGTTTTTCTCTACAGGATCTTCTCTGCCTATATCAAGGAGGTGGAGGAGCGGCCAGCCCCTACACCGTGGGGCTCCAAGATGCCCTTTGGGGAGCTGATGTTCGAGTCGAGCAGCAGTTGTGGCTGGGTGCATGGAGTCTGCTTCTCGGCCAGTGGGAGCCGAGTGGCTTGGGTCAGCCATGACAGCACAGTGTGCCTGGTGGACGCTGACAAGAAGATGGCGTGAGTTTGGGAACAGGCTGTGGGGCGGGCAGCCACAACTGAAGCCCAGAGCAGGGGCGGGGGACAGCATGGCTGAATGGCTGACGCACTTTCTCTTCCAGCGTTGCAACCCTGGCCTCTGAAACCTTGCCACTCCTGGCTGTCACCTTCATCACAGAAAATAGTCTAGTGGCAGCGGTAAGTGGCCTTTGGGGATGCAAAGGCAGGGGCCAGTAAGTAGTCTCTTTTCACTCTTCCCTTCCTCCCTCCCTCTCTTGGTTGTTGTTTTTTTTTTTTTTGGTTTTTCAAGACAGGGTTTCTCTGTGTAGTTTTGGTGCCTGTTCTGGATCTCGCTCTGTAGTCCAGGCTGGCCTTGAACTCACAGAGATCCGCCTAGCTGTGCCTCCCAAGTGCTGGGATTAAAGGCGTGCGCCACCACTGCCCAGCCCCTCTCCTGCTTTTTATTGTGCTTTTATGCACAATAGTTTGGGTATGCTGTAGTAACCAAATTTCCCAGCTGTGTATGGCACGACACAAGGGTATTTTGACAGGGTCTCACTGTGTGGCCTAGGCTGGTCTTCCCTTTTCCTTCTGAGTTCTTCAGGCTGGCCTTTAATTCATTCTGTAACCCAGGCCAACCTCCAATTTATAATCCTCCTGCCTTAGCTTCTTGAATACCTGGGATTGCACGTTTTTACTTGCACGTCTATCCAGTGTGGGTGTTGTGGGGGAGGGGACTCTGAAGGCGGCTTCATTTCCAGTGCTTCCCCAGCTGTCTCGAGTGTAGAGGAGTTGTTCTAGAATTGTGCCCTAACATCTTTGCTTACATCAGCCAGTGCGGATGACAAGACCATACCTAACTGAGGCCTGCGCGGTCACTCTGGGAGTAAAAGCACTTGCTGTTCACCCTGATGACTCTGAGTTCAATTCCTGGGTCCCACATGGTGAAAGGAGAGAACCAACTCTCACAGGTTGCCCTCTGACCTCCACATGCACCCATGGCACCTGCACACGCACACACATGCACACCCACACCGATTTTTTAGAGGCAGGCCTGTGGGAATGGACTCAGAGTCACTAAGTGTCCCAAAAGCTACTGTCCCATCTGTCCACTATTCCATTAATATGGAGGCTTGTTTTCTCCCTGGCGGATCACTCAGCTGGGATGGAGGTCTGCTCAAGGGAAGGGTCCCAGACACGCATCAAGTAGATGCTGGCCTTGAATGGTGGTGGGGAGGGCAGCCTTCTTATCTGTGCCTGCTTGATACCTCTGAAGTCCCTCTCTCTCTGGGTCCTGATGTATCCCCCAGCTAGGGCATCTGTCTCCTGGTAGCCCTCAGTAGCTGCCAGATGCCCTCATCTCCATGTCTCACCTCAAGCCTCAGTTTCCATTTTAGAGTCCCTACCTCAAATGATGCTTCAGTGGTACTCCTGTCCCTCCTCAGGGCCACGACTGCTTCCCCGTGCTGTTTACCTATGACAGTTCTGTGGGGACATTGAGCTTTGGTGGTCGACTGGATGTGCCCAAGCAGAGCTCCCAGCGTGGCCTGACAGCCCGAGAACGCTTCCAGAACCTCGACAAGAAGGCCAGCTCTGAAGGTGGTGCAGCCACGGGCGCCGGCCTAGACTCACTGCACAAGAACAGTGTCAGGTGCTTCTGCAAACCACCAAGAACCACTTCAGAGGGCTGGGGTGGGAGCCAGGGGGAGGGGGCGTGAAATGGCATGGGGGGGGACTAGAGGAAGCAGGCCGACTTCCAGGCCATACTCCAATAGTAGGAACTTAGCAGTCAGCCTGGCTCTACCTATGTGGCTGACTGGGGCATGCCTAAGGTATGGCGGGGCCTCTATGATACAGGAGAGTGACTTCTTGGGAGTGGGTCTCTTGCTAGATTTAAGTTGGGAGACCCTCCAAAACCCCAAAGCTACCAGCTGCAGGGGTCCACCCTGAAACATACTAGGAAGCAGGGATTTTGCTGATCCTTGGCTAGCTAGGCCTTGGGAGGTCTCTTGAGCCAATATCCAAGCCTAGCTTCCAAGGTTGTTCATTACCAGGCACAGTGTCCTCCCATACCCATTTCTAGCCCCCTACCCCCACCCCTCCTCCAGCTCAGCACACTAGTGGCACTCTGCATTCCCCACACTCAGGCCTGTCCTTGCCTAGGCTTCAAGGGTCTTGTTCTCTGGCCAGGACTGTTTCCCTCACACACTGTTCCTCCAAGCCTTGTTCCCTGGCTGGTCCTACCTCATCTTGGTATTCTTCATGGGAATGGGTCTGGGAGCTCATGGCCAGCAAGCTTGGCCTCTAAACCCAATCTCCCTACAGTCAAATCTCGGTGCTCAGCGGGGGCAAGGCCAAGTGCTCGCAGTTCTGCACTACAGGCATGGATGGTGGCATGAGCATCTGGGATGTGAAGGTGAAGCTGCCCCCCGCAACCCCCCACCCCCTTTCTTAGCAGCTGCCCTGGGGCATGGGACAGGGATCATCTCCTGACCTTTGGGTTTGCATGCCTTTCTGTTGGGATTCAAACTCCGCCCTCCTTTATGCTGGGGCTGAGATGGGTGTGAGGTGTCTACAGGACAGTGGAGAACCAACTTGTCCATTCTCTACTTGCAGAGCTTGGAGTCAGCCTTGAAGGACCTGAAGATCAAATGAGCTGTGGAGTGCCACCCTCATCCCAGATGCTGGGAAAGAGGGAAAAGCGCTGGGGAGGCCAAGGGCTGCTTTGCTGAATGCTTCTAGGGTGCCAGTACGGGGCTGCTCCCCAAGAAGGGAGGAGACAGGTGGGAACTTTCCTACCTATTTAAGGAATATGTGCCTTTTAAAGAAATGCTTTCACTTACTGCTTAAAAAAGAAAGAACAGAAGAAAAAGCCCCCAAGCACAATGCTGGTCATGAATCGCTTCAGAATATGGGGTAATAAATGCCATCTGCGGACAGGCCTGCCTGTGTCTCAGAGAAGCTAGTTGCTGTGTGGGCTGCTGGAAACAAAACTGACCCTCAGTACAGGGGACCTTCTCTCCCAACTACGCTTCAGGTTACTTATTAAGTGGTGTGATTCCAACACAAACGGGGTACACATTGCTCTGGACCATAGTGGAAATCTCTCATTTCTCCACTCTGATGTGGGCAGCTGAATTCTGGTAAATGTTCATTGGTTTTTGTACAATCCCCTATTTCTATTTTAGCCTATAGCCTTTTGTCAGATGTTTTTGGTTACCTTTTTTACACAGCATCTGAGCTGACAAAATTCCATCAAGGATGAAAACCATCCTTCTGTAAGACAAATCACTCTAGCAGACAGCACCAAGGCATAAAAGCTTCCATTACTCAGCCCAGGTCTCAGAGTTTCTGTGACAAGCAGGCCTTCAGATGTGTAAAAGGACCCCAACAATCCTCAATCACACTCTCCCTCCAACCCAAGCAGTACACTTTGGTTTGGTGCTGGGGGCCTCAAGCAGGAATCCTGCCAGTCACCCCCAAATGTTATAAACTCACTCTCTCATATATAATTTTTTTTTGTTTGTTTTTTTTTGTTTTTTGAGACAGGGTTTCTGTGTGTAACCCTGGCTGTCCTGGATCTCACTCTGTAGATCAGACTGGCCTTTCAGCTAAAGAGATATACTACCTTTTTACTACTCAGTCCTAAACCAGCAAGAAGGCATTGCTAAATAGCTACCACCTTCTTCCACCCTGAAAGAGACTTCATTTGGGAGCCAATCTTGAATTTGGGCAGCTGCAGGATCCCCCCAGAGACCATCAATTGGGGTCAGGCCCAAGGGCATGTGGTAGAGGTCACTAGAAAGTAGACTGGGTGTCATCTCAGCCATCATGATGCTTGATCCTCTGGCGACCATACCACCCCTATTTGTGCCCACGACACATTCACAGACAACCCCCCCCCCCCAAACTCTTCGATCTCTGGGGATGCACAAAGGACAATGCCACTCAGGTGAAGCATCCCCTCTCAGAGCTCAGATGGGGCCGGGGCCAGGACAGGACCCTTTCACTGGTCCTGAACACACAAGTAACTCACTGGCTGTGCTAGGTCTGCTTCTTCAACTGCCACAATGTTAAGGATTGAGTGGACAGCTCAGACTGGTGAGCATTGGCCATTACCTTTTAGAGACTTCTAGCAGTGGATTAGGATATGACAAGCAGACAGCACCTGGAGGCCCACAGGGGAAGCTCAGTATTGCTCTGGTCTGCTGTAGGTTGAGTACTGGCCCTAAGTCTCACTCTACTGATACTGACATCCAGGCTCTGTATCTTGCTTTGTGCAAAAGCCTGATAGTGTTTTCCCAGGTAGGTGTGTGCCCTGAACCCTGCTGGTACCTGCCATGAACAAAATTAGGGTAAAGCAGCCAGAAGATGAATTGCCAAACAAGGATTACGATAATGTTGTTTAATCTGCCAAATATACAAGAATTTTAGGAGCATGTCTTGTCTGGGTGATGCACAGTAACCAGAGGTTTCTTGAAATGATCAATGGGTAGGGTTAAAAATGGCCACTAGCCCTGACCAGGTGGGTGGGAAAGGGGCAGAGCAGGTCAGAGAGGAGAGGCCTCATTGGACGGAACTGGCCAGGCACAAACCTTGGACCCTTAGGGGCACAGGCTTCCTGACAGCCCCTCTGAGTGAGCACCCAGACAACGATCTGGGCTGGTTGTCATCAACCCCCACACCAGCTGCCTACTGGCACTATCCCCCCACCCCCAACGTGCAGTCTACTGGACAAATGGAATCTCTTTACCCCACTTCCCAGGCAGCCCCCAACCAGGGTTCCAAATTCTAAAAACAGCAAAAACATTCAAATGGTTATGTATGAAATGCTGTCCTGCATCTTTCTGTCTCAAAGATAGCAGCTGCCCCTCCCCCCAGCCCCCCCACGTCCCCTGAATGATTTCTGTGCCAAGATGAAGAGGAGGCCCCAGGCCATAGGGGCTCCTGGCCATGAGGGGCTGCTGCAGCGGCGCCAGGGCACAGGGTGGGTGAGACACGGCAGAGGTCCTGGAGGCATGGCCCAGTTCCTCGGCATCTCCTCCCACAGGCCAGCTTACTTATTCAGGGAGAGTGACTGCATTCGTTTTCCTGACAAAGTTGCGTCATCTTTTGCTGAGGGGTTGGAAGGGAAGGGTGGGGGTTAGAACACAGCAAAAACACCTCCCACATCCCTCTGAATCACAGGACTTCAGGACCAAGGCCTTAGAAAACATTTTGTGCAAACGGGCTCAGTTAATAGATAGGAAGAGAGCCAAGAAGGATCCAGACTGCCACTCAAGGGAGAGGATTTCTGCTGAGGCCACAAGGCTCAGGTCTCCAGATGTTCCCACTATGCTTGAGTGACTGTCACCACCCTGTCAAAAGCTGCCTGTCCATTCAGGCCCACCAACTCACAGTGTGGTGGCTACTGGGAACTTGGGGCGTCCCTGGCAGAACCCTGCAGTTCCAACCTCTCTCTCTACTCTGAAGTCTAATGTCTCAAGTCAGCAACAATACCTAGCCACATATCAAGTCCTTTCTTGCTTAGAGTATGGGAAGCCAAATGAGTTCCGATAACTAAGCTCAGGAAAGGGATGGATGCCCCAGTGAGTTCTCAGTTCCAGGTCTGTTTCCTCATATAAACGAGTTCCGATAACTAAGCTCAGGAAGGGGATGGATGCCCCAGTGAGTTCTCAGTTCCAGGTCTGTTTCCTCATATAAACGAGTTCTGATAACTAAGCTCAGGAAGGGGATGGATGCCCCAGTGAGTTCTCAGTTCCAGGTCTGTTTCCTCATATAAACGAGTTCCGATAACTAAGCTTAGGAAGGGGATGGATGCCCCAGTGAGTTCTCAGTTCCAGGTCTGTTTCCTCATATAAATGAGTTCTGATAACTAAGCTCAGGAAAGGGATGGATGCCCCAGTGAGTTCTCAGTTCCAGGTCTGTTTCCTCAGATTTCAGTAAATAGGAAAGTGAGCTGAGGGCTCTCATAGCCACCTATGCCCCTTTTCCCCTGGAAGGTCTCAAGTAAAGTGCTCTACACTAGACACCCCCAGGCCTGTGAGAACCTGGATCACCTTTAGATGCCCAGAGGGAGGGTGAGGAGTGGACACAGACATGATGCCCGGCACCTTTTATATACAGCTCTACCATCTCAAGCCCCTGGAAGGATGGCAGAACTCCAGGTGCAGCCCCTTCCACAGACCTGAACCTCAAAGGCCTCCTGTTGGAGTCAGTGGCTATTAGAAGGTGCTCTACTGATCCTAACCCTCATCTACTCCATGACGGTGGGCAAGAGCATCTCCCCAGCGATGGCAAGGCTTTACTGGCTGACATGGGTGATGAGGTAGCTGTCCTTCCTCAGCCCCTCCCACCTCACAGACAGGCTTCAGGGTCCCGCCCAGAACGAGTCAGTTAACCAACTGTACCTGGGCCAACAGACCTACCTTTCCTCTCCTCTTCTTTCTTTCTTGCTGCCTCCTCCCGTTGTTTCCGGATGATTGCCAGCCGGGCAAGATCAGCCTTGGCCTGCTCTGTCTTCCCAGCCAAATGCATCTTCATGTAGCGTTCTTTTGCTTTTTGCTTCTCGATTTCTTCTCTGTTTGGATAAAATGGTGTCACAGGGCTAGCTTTCCCACCACTGTTAGCGGGGCTAGACATGGGAGTAAGCACAAAGTGCAAAGGGAAAGGACACTCCAGCTGAGAGGGAGGTGCTAGTTCCAAGTGTCTTTTAGTGGATACCCTCAAACAAACAAGGAGAGGGAATGGTCCCAGGAGAGAAACCCCCATGAGAACTTTGGCACAAGAGGGGGCAGTGTCTGGTTGCAGGGACAAGGTTGCTGCCTGAAAACTTCACGTGGAACTCAAAACCAAATGCACTATGTTCCAGAGAAGATGATCATAATGAAGAAGGTACTAGGCAGGGAATGAAAGCCTTAAGTGATGAGAAAGAGACACAACCTGACTTCAGGGTACCTTCTTACAGTAGTTCACATGTACCTCCCAACCAGGTGAGCCCCTTCAGGAGGGGTGTGAGAATAAAAGCAGGATCCCATGGGACAAGGGTATGGCTAGTAATCACCTGTCTAAATAGAGAATAGGAAGGGCCATCAGTTTCCCTGTGTGATTCTGACTAGCAGGGCTGTCTAGGATGTGAGAACAAAGGGCTCCATTTCCACTGAAACCTTAGAGGACCCAAATGGCAAAGGAGGAAAGAGGCTTGCCTGGCAGGAGCAGTAGAGGGGCTTTCTGGAGGCCCTTTCCAGTCCACAAGGCTGGGCAGTAATAGGAAGCAAAGCATGGGGGCGTGCTTCAAGAGGATGGATGAGAAACTCAGCCAGCAAGGGCTTGATGAGGAAATATTACACTCAGGAGACTAGACAAGACACCTACTATTGAGGTGTGGAGATAGCACTATTGGCCAGCAGATCCACCCTGAGGATGTGCTAGACTGAGATGTCTCTTGGTTATTCAGGACTAACCAAGGCTGCTTCAAGTTTTTGTAGGACCCCCTCAGTGAAGACCAAGTATTGGCAGAGTGCTGGCTTTCATGATCATCATTTCTGCATCTCTGTTGGGCAGAGATGGGACGTTTTGACTTGAGGCCCAAAGAGGACAGTGACTTATCCATGACTTCTCAGTGAAGTGGCAGAACCCTAGAGCCCTTCTATTCTGGGAAAGACAGCTCAGCCTGCTGTCACAAAAAGGAAACTAACAGAGGGGTACAGAAACAGCCCCAGTGACACCCAAACCCCTTCTCTGTAGTGTTTGGAGACCTGTTCTTTAGCCATCCTGGGACTTGCACAAGGTGCTAGGCTGGAATCCTAGCAGCTTTCAGTCTATTAAAAGGCCACGAGGTCGTCTAGTCCCGTTAAGTCAATGAGGCTGTAGGTGTGGCTAGAAGATAGAGTGACTGCTCTGGGGCCCTAGTCTGTGTGCTTAGGTTGCAGGTTCACCCAGC